TGCTGTGGGCAAAACTACTTTCAGATCTAAGCAGAGGATTTAGCTATTTTATTCTGCAAGCAATGAGAAAATATCTTCTTGATTCTAAATCTAAAATAAGAGATCTAATTAATTCTAGAGCACCACAATCATCTACATTACTTCTTAGTATGCAGAAATCTAATAGTTTCTTCTTTAAACAGCAATATTTAAAAATGCATTTAATTTAAATGGCTGTGGTTCCTCTCTTCAGTAAACACATGTGAAGGCATACATTGTGTTTAAACATAATAAATACAGCTAAAATCATGCATCTGGGTCAATCCTCTGCATGTAATCAGGATTATGAAAATTTAGTTTTTCTTATCTTTCTCAATAAATGGTCTATGTACAGACGACTGGAAATTTATTCAGACATGGTCTTGGTTGTGTTCTTGTTTTTTAACTCACCAGTTCTTTCTTCCCTGCAAATCTGACTGATTTCAAATTCTATCAGTTGCTCTGGTAGCCAAGGAAAGTGCCAAACTGTGGTTGCTGATTTCTAAGCTGTGCTGAAGTTCTTTCAGAGACAAAATTCCCATGCCAAGGCATTGTAATTGCAAGTTTCATGCCCATTTTAATGACTCACTCTTTTGGTTCTGATTGCTGACCACATGTAATTATAAAGGAAAGGGAACAGAGGACCGCGAGAAGGCAAAATCCAAATAGACACAAAAGGGGGAAAGGTGACAGGAGAAGGTTTTCATTTAGATTACACCTTCTCCAAGATTTTCCTGTCCTGAGCCTCCCAGCTCTCTGAATGAGGTTCCTTCAGCCCCTCCTTCATCCACTGCCTTGCCCACAGCTCCTCTCAGGCATTCCCCAGAGGCAACCCAAAGAGACAGGGTACATCCAGGGGGAGATCCTGAAATCCAGTTATTCTGAAAAATCTGACAAATGGAAGGAGGCCCATCAGCCTGATGGCTCTGTACATGTGTGGTGGGAAAGAAACTGTCAGAGGCATAGGGGAATCCCCTTTGTTTCAAAAGTGCTTCTTCAAAGAAACAGACATCCCCATCTCTCTTTGAGGAAGGCACTGTGTGGGAGGCTCTGTGGGGCCTCCTACAATGCCATGACTGAGAAGCCTGTCTTTAACTGGAGCTTCACTGAAAATGCACAGTCCAGATAAAATGCAAAGGCACAAAGAGTAAATAAAGAAGTAGTCAATGCTAAGCAAAGTGTGGGCCGAGGAATTCTGCCTCCTAAGGAGGTGACAGTCAAATGAAGCTGGCTCATCATGTGTGTCAAAAGCAGCATCAGACAGGTAAATAGCAATTCTACACTTCCCTCCTACTCTAAAATTCCACCCTTAAAACGCAGGGTATTTGAGGAAGCTTCCTGCTGACAGGCACATCCTGCCCAGAATTACATTTTAATAGTTCTTCTTTTAGACAAACATTTAATCTATACTTATACAGTCCCATGCTATTCCCATGCAGTCCCTCGGGAGGAGCAAAACATGCAAAACACACAAAGGGTGGTAATGAAAAGAAATAATCATTCTGCGCTCATTGATGAGTTTGCAGATAATGGAGTAGAATATTTACTATGGTTCTGTTTTCTCTGGAGGGCAACTTTTTATCTCTTAGATAACTCTGTAGACACTGGCAGGAAACAGTAGCCATTTTCAGTCCAGTGCAGTGGAGGCTGGCACACCACCTGGAACGAATACGTGACATCCAGCACACCTGGATCTTGGTATTTTGGACAAAAATCCACAAAGTGTCCCAGGACTATTCTCCAAGTAAAGAAGAACTTCCATACAAACTGAGATTTTTTTGAACTAGCAATAACATCATTTTATCACATTAAAGCTAATTTTACACAGATAAGGTTACAGGTTTTACTCGCTTTCTGCAGCCACCTCAGGACGTGGCAACATGATGCCTCTTGAAGGACCAGGGCTCAAGGCTCAATGATATTTTCATCTTGCCAAAGCCAAAAAGTATCACCAATCTAGTGTGTGTGTGGGGGGAATCACACTAGAAACTAAGTTAGTTGAATACTGCATTGCAAACAGCAACGCTGAGGGCTCTGAAGTAAATCCTGTGTATCACCAGCAGTTTATAAAACGTGAGATCTTAAAAAGTAATCTTCTCAGGTTTCTTTCTATTTGCCTTCAGTTTTTTGTCAGATTTAGATATAGGAAACAAAACATTGGCACACTAGTCAAGGAAAATGCTCCATTTAAGTGTTTGCTAACAGTATCCGGATGAGAAGAGGCATGGCCAGGTCCCCAGAGGGAATTACAGTCACTGCCAGCCTTGCTGGAGGAACAGCAATGACCACTGCTGGTTACACGAACAACAGGCATACTGTGACACACTGGCTTGACTCAATAACACAGCTCCTGAAACCTTCATTCTGTCAAAACAAAATTCGTCAGTCCTTTAGCTCCCACTCCACAAGTGGTAAACTGGCCCAGCATCTTCCTCCTTTTTCCACTAAAGGTAATATGTCTTGAAATAAACATTGGCTGTATCTTAAAACCCAATAAATTAAATTGTCTTTCCTGAGCCAGCAGCAGGAGTAATGGAAAACGTTTCTCAGAACTAGTTTGTTTGATTTCTAAGAAAGTGTTTGACCTAATGATCTATTTTAGCAAATTGGTATGACTTACGGATAACTGATAAGCGCACAGCAAAAACCAGCTATGCAGCTACTCGTCACAAGGCAAACATTTTATGCAAAATTAAAAATTATACACAAACCGATCAGGAATACAGTTTAAACAAACAAATGAAAATCTGCAGTTTCACCACTGATGATGAAAAAGTTAGTAAAATGGTTAGAAATAACAGCTTGGCAGTATGCAATTTAACAGCCAGTGTATCTAAAATCTCATCCTACATAATATTTAGCAAGATCATCAACATTTGCCTCTGGATTAATGCAGTATGGAAAAGGATAATCAGCCAGCTAAGTGTGTAAGATCTGACGTACAGATGCAAGAGAATAAGTAAATTGTGATACATTAATTCAGTATAACTTCATTAACAACCAAGCAACCAAGTTTTGTGCTCGATGTAAAGACCTCTGGCAGATTTTTCCTATCATGGCACTACTGGCAAGAGAGAGGAAAAGGCCAGGCAGCACCAGGCTAAGGGTTAGAGAAGGGCTTGTCATTGTGAAGAGGAACAGTGACCAAGTGGGATGGTCAAGAGGGGGGCTATACTCTTACAGATAAATGTTACTTCATGAGTGTGTGTCCATGAGCTAAAAAGAAGGAAAACACAATGGTTGGGCACAGTAGAACAATTCCATTTTATCTCAGTCTGAGTGTAAGTACTGATAGTAAAGTGTCAAAAATCTTTTCTCCTTCACCCATGCTGATCTATCCCTTCAAAAATTGACACAGGACAACTTTACCTATCAATCAGTGGGCTCCGGATCAAAACCCCTCTGGACTACATGGGATCTGGCTTGGTGATGTATAATTAAACCAAGTGATAGATAAATTCTTGCAAATGCAAACAGGAACTAGTGAGGTATCTTTGGGAAGCTCCTCACCAGAAGAGACTATCTTGTCTAACCACATATGTTAGAAGGAAAACTCCCCCCAGCACTCCTGTGTTGCAGAGCTAGTCCCTACAGCCCAGGGATAGCTGAGAGCTATGGCATATCAGGCCGTGGGGGCTCCCCCAGAGACCCACAGACGCCACTCACATCTGAGGATCTCAGCTACAAAGGGAAATATGGACTTTCTCTACTTGTTGTTAATTAGCTTTTTTACTTCTTGTTTTCTGGGTGTCTCATCTTCAGCCCTGCTTCTATCCTTTTCTCTCCTTTTTTTTCCTGCCCTCTTTCCCCTTTCAGCCTATTATTACCATGCTCCTGTGAACTCGTGCCATCCTTTCCTGAGAAAGGTACAGACAGTCACTTTACTGCATTTTTCTTCTCTAGTCTTCACAAAACACAAAGTTGTGTGGATGGGAGTGACCACAACATTCACTAAGTTCACTGTCTAACAGCTCATTTGCTTTGCTGGTCTCTCTCAAGACATTTTGAATAATTAATCACAGAATCATTATGGACGGAAAAGATCATTGAGTCCAACCATTAACCCAACACTGCCAGGTCCACTACTAAACCACATCCCTAAGCACCACATCTACAAGTTCTCTGAGTACTTCCAAGGACTGTTATTCCATCACTGCCCAGGGCAGCCTGTTCCAATGCTTGACGGCCCTTTTGGTGAAGAAATTTTTCCTAATGTCTAGTCTAAACCTTCCCTTGTGCAACTCGAGGATGTTTTGTCTTCCCCTTTTGCTTGTTACCTGGGATAATTAATACTACTGTGCTGTTAGCATATACATGGCAATTTTGGCATCACTGCCATTGTCACCTGTTTCCATATACTGCAATTCCTGCAATGAAGAGCCACGAGGAGCCCTGGCACTTTTACTGCTTTGTGACTGTGCTGGGGGGACTTTTCCCCACAGAAACCCTGCTCTCCCCTCAGCGTGACCCTTGGCGTCTGTCCCTTAAGCCTCTATCTAGAGCTTTTAAAGTGTGTGTTGATCTCCCATGGGATAGAAAGCGTTAGTTACAAAGCCTTTTTTATTACCTCACATTTTGCTATATTCCCATCTACAAGCATCCTCTGGAAGAAAGGGCTATCACAGGAACTTGAACTAAGAGGAAAATACCAAGAATATAGGCGAGATCTGAGGAAGACAGTACTCTCGTTAAAGCAATTCAATTAAAGTGCTGGTCTTCATGCCAGTTTTAAAGCTCCTGTGTGGCAGTGGCTCTGACTGCAGAGCTCTAGAGGTCGCAGACTGACAGTCCTTGACAAGTACATCAGGTAGGTTCTGGTGCTCAGGTACAACTACATACCAACTTTACATGCCAGTTTCAGCCTGATGTTGGCTTACATCCATTATTTTGAATCACATCCACCTGATATTTATTAAAGATCCTGGAATACCAACTTGACACTGTACAGAATATGACGTAACTTGCACATAACTATTTCTTACTCTTTGAGAGCAGCATCACCTAATCCTAGGCAGGGTGTTGAGGTCACTTGGCGTGTTCAGCCCGGAGGAGTCTGAGGGGAACCTCACTGCGGTCTTCAACATCCTCACAAGGGGAAGTGGAGCGGCCGGCACTATCTCTTCGCTCTGGTTACCACTGACAGGACCCAAGGAAACGGCAAGAAGCTGAGTCGGGGGATGTTTAGGTTGGATATTAGCAAAGGTTCTTCATCCTGAGGGTGGTTGGGCACTGGAACAGGCTCCCCAGGGCAGTGGTCTGACAGAGCTCAAGAAGCGTTTGGACAACGCCCTCAGACACAGGATGTGACTCTTGGGGTGTCCTGCGGAGGGCCAGGAAGGGGATCCTCGTGGGTCCGTTCCAACTCAGGATATTCTAAGATTTCCAAATTAACCCTTTTCTTTTTCTTTTTTTTTTTTTTCTTTTTGTCCCCTCCTTTTTGGGGGCTAACTTTTCCGAGAAGCAGGGAAGAAGACGACTGCCCCTTTGTCCACCTCTCCCCGCGGCGCGCGCGGTGCCCGTTGCCCCGGCGACGCAAGTCTCGCGAGGCGCGGCGCGGCTCTCGCGGGCGGAAGCGGCCGCCCGTGTTTACAAGGCAGCCGCGCCGGGGCCGGGCCGCGCCGGGGCCGGGCCGGGGCAGCGCCCAGCGCCCCCCGCCCATGTGCCCGCAGCCCCCGCCGCCCATGGAAGTGATGGAGGGGCCCCTCAACCTGGTGAGCGCAGGGCCGGGGGGGGGCGGAGCCGGGCAGCGGGGAGAGCGAGACACCGCTCCGCGTAACCGGGCGAGGAGACGCGACCTGAGCGGACAGCGGGACTCTGGTCGCCCGCCTGTCGCCCCCAAACACCCGTTCAGGGCCCCGTGAGGCCGTGCCGGGCGGGAGCGGGGCCCAGCGCCGCGCCGGGGATGGGGGGCTCGCCACGGTGCGGCGGGACAGCGCTGCTCCGGGCCCCGGAGGGGGAACCGCGCAGGGAGCGAGTTGCGACATGTTTACCTTGCCGGGTGAGCCCTCTGTAAACGCGAGGGATAGGGGAAGTTCTGGGAGGCAAGTTCGGGAAGGAAGTGGCTAGAGGAAGCGTTTAGATAGCACAGGCCATATCCATGGCAGTTTAGAGAGTTTATCAGGACCCGGTGTTTCTTCTAACTTCAGAAGGCGAAATGCGTTAAAACCTGAAATCAGGACGCGCCCCGCTCCGCTCCGCCCCCCCGCTCCGCCCCCCCCCCCCCGGCTTAGACTAAGTCGCTAAGGAACTGGAGCTGAAACACAGATGGTCTGAAAAATGCAGCTTCACAAAAGCTAGTCAAATGTTAAACAGCCTAAATTGGCAGGTCCCTGTCCGATAGACACAATCTAGAAGAGTTAATTCCCTGCTGCCTTATGGGTTTTATCAAAGCTGTGTCTTGACTGTGCCTCAGATGTGGTGATGCAGTGTTCCCTTAGAAAACAAGCTTTGGTCCAGCAGTCCAGTGAGCCATGGACAGCACACCAGGAGTACATCAGTGGTGCTTCCAGGAATGAGTTTGATCCAGAAATTGTTCAGACATTGCCATGTGAACCTCAGGGACTTGTGTCAGTTCAGTTTTTAATCAAAGCTTATTTGCTCCAGCAGAGTGTCAACCCTGGCAAACCCTTGCCTGCTCCATGCAGAGCCAGTCAGGTATTCCTGGTTCACCCTCTCTGATTCAGGAAGGCTTTTAGAACTGTCACTGCTGACCACCCATGGAATTAGGAAGATGGTGAGTTTAGATCCAAATCAATGGTGCAGAACCTCTCTGGGTATGTCAGCATCACACTGTCTCAGACTTTTCACTCTATGCTGAAACACTAATTGAAATAAGGAACAGCAAGAAGTAGAAAAGCTCTTGTAACCTGTTGATATGATGGACTTAAAGTCAGGCAAACAGGCAGCACAGTAATGCAGGAGGGATAAACTGTAGCTAAGTTCACAGACACTGTAAAAACTTTTTAAAAAGTAGATCTAGTGCATAAAACTCTAAGGACAAAACAAATATTGTATATTCACTGGTAAATGTCTGTAAGCAGCAGCTTTTTGGCAGAGCAGATGTCACTAGTCAGTAGTGTTTCAGTAAGAGACCACTTAAAAGGACTGTAGGAGTGACAAGACTGTGACTAAAGCCTGGCTGATGATCTTGTGACCACAACAGGAGTGTTCAGGTACCACACCTGGGTAGCATCAGGCTGACAACAAGGTCAAGGCACTTCTGCATGAAGAGATAATACATGAAAAAAGGTACTTTACATACTTTTGTACAGAAAATTATGAAATTGCCTGCAAATATGCACCTACTGCCTTAGAGTGGCCTGAAATAAAAACACTTTTTTTTGAAAATGCTGCACAATATTCAGGGAAGGAGCCAACCTCCAGTGAAAGAACATCCATTTAAGATGTTTATAATATCCAATGTGATCTATTTCACTTGCTTCTCCTATAAATATCTTCTCTTACCTAAGTCTAGTTCCTGTCGACTGGAAAAGCACAACTTTTTCCAAAGATGACAAAGGGGAAAATAAAGCTACCAAAAACACAACAACAACAACAAAAAAAACCAAACAAACCAAACCAAACCCACCAAATCACCGAACACCTAAACTACAAAGTGGTTTTGGATACAGTAATCATTAGACTTAACTGCTATTGATGACTTGAGTACGAGACATTTCCCTTTCAGTCTATCATGGCTTTTTCACAAAATTGATTTTTCTTCAGTTAAGGTATTTCTTCATAATTTACTACAGTATTTGGATATTGCTTTGTCCTGTGAACCTTGTTCATTAGTTGTGGATTGGAGCATCTAGTCTTTTTTGAAAGCATGGATACTGTCCTGATTTTCTGGGCAGCTGATCTGACTTCAAAAAAAAAAAAATCCCTTACAGGTGGCATGCCGTAGCCAGTGTTCCACTGGTTTCAATTATGTTCTTTTTCTACCTTCTGACAGATAGATTTCCCTCAAAATAATGTTTTATCTTCGTGGAACTGGGCTTAATGCCTTCAACTATTTCTTTCTTATGTTTGCTATATTTTGGTTTCCCCAATTCACCGATTTAGTTCTGTAGATGGCACTAGACAACACAGATTTGCTTTCCAGATATGTTGAATATATATATATATACACACACACGCATACACACACACACACACACACACACACATATGTATATAACACTACAATGTTTTTTGTTCAATGGAAGTTTTAATTACTGACCTTCAGGTCTAATAACTTCAATGAGAAATGGATCCATCTTTTCAGAATTTGACCTTATTTAGCTCATTTACTTATGAATTTAGTTCTTCAGACTTTTTTTCTATTTTAAAGTTACTAACTTTTTGTATTCCTTCTGTGCCATTGTTGCGTGCTTAGCAAATGATCATGCTGAGTCTAACCCCAACTTTCCTTCTTTTAACCTTTCTAGGACTTGTGCTACAGTACTAACTGCTGATTTGATTTTTCCACTGAGCTGTCCTCAAGGTATTTGTTGTACCCAGTGATCCTTCCTTTAGGAATAACTGAAATAACTTTTCCAAGATCTGTTGCCATTGTCTGAGTTGACAGAGCCATTGGAAAGCGTTTTCGTAGAATCATTAAGATTGGAGAAGAACTCTAGGATCCAAGTCCAGCCATTAATCCAGCACTGCTAATGGACCACTGAACCATGTCTCTAAGCAGTGATCTCATCTTGAAAGAAAGAGTTAAAGCCCTCATCCTTATGCTTTTACTAGTGAGGAAGCCAGTTCTTAAACCCTACAAATAAAACATTTAGGTTATGCTGTGGAACTTAAAACCAGTATGAAGTGCAGTTTCTGCACCTGCAGACAACCGTGTAACAGGTTTCTAGCCCAGCTGATTACTTATTTCACACATAACCCAGTGTCAAAAACTTAAGGCATATCAACATTCTTCTACAGATTAAAACTTTTACTGCAAAAGCACAAAGATAAGTCTCTCATGAACACTGCAAGTTCTTGCAGAGCATCTCAAGAGCTTCTTGGTTGTATTTACTGTAGGGGTAATTCCTACTGCCATCTGATTTAGGCAAAGAATTCTGATCTCACATCCAGCAGTAATTTTAACCTTAGGTATAGGAGCAAAAGTTACAAGTTAAGAAGCACAACCACACACTGCTGGCCATCAGAAGCTTGGAAGGAACACAGTAAAAATGAGGCAAATAATATCAAACCTCAAGAAGAGATGAGAAAGAAAACTTGTTCCTTAAACAGTCCAGGACCTCAGAACTCTGCAGATTCTACTTTAACACCTCAGTATTGTCCTATAGCTAACGAGCCATACCACCTCTACTTTGTATTCTTCCTATAAGGTAGTAATGTTTGTATGGCTTATAATAAAATATAATCCAAAATCTGGTGAGTATCTGTCAGCTCTAAGTTTCTTGAAGCATAAGGGACCCAGCTTGAGGAGCTGCTGTTTTGGTGAAAACAGAAAGCACAGACCAGTGGCTGGAGTGAGAATAACAAAATGTGTATTTCAAAAATCTCATATAGTGAAAGATTTTAATATTAATGCATTGGTAGCAACCACTCCAGTGCGAGCCAGTCAGTGGTTTACTTTAGGAAGTGATTTAAAAGTGAGGTGAGTACTACATCCACACAAAGGCAAAATAACAAACAGAATAAATATGCAATATGGAGGTGTAGGAGGGGCATCTATGAAAGTTCACTAGAGACCAAAGGATTTAAACCACATGGGCTAATGTGTTTGAGACTCAATGCCAGCCTGCAGCTCTGTTATTTTGATTCGAAAACCAGGAATATTATGTTAATCTATAGAAACATCCACTGAACCCCACTTGTTTTCTTCGATTTTTTTTAATAAAGCTTAACCTGCTATACTTGATCTTCCAGTCTAAAATGGAACCAAAAAAAGGGCAGATGCACTCAATTCTGAGCTCAAATTAGAGAGGACAAGCTTGTAGGTAATAAAAGGGGGGAAAGTATCACTCTATAGATGTGCCTCACACAAAGTCTGTTTTTACTACAGTGGTGGGTGAACCACAAGGTGTGAACCCACAGAGGCAGCCTCATATCTGAGAGAAGTGACTGGAGGTGCTGAGGTGGTGCATCAGATGCTCAGCTGAACAGCCAGATCAGTAACAGCCACCTCAAGGCTGTGTTCAGGTATATAATTCCTATTAAAGGCACAACACAGAACTGTTCCACGTGACACAGAAAACAACTTGCAGCTGCTCCCAGTCAAGAACATAATTAGCTAAGCTATGGGTGGTTGACAGAAGCATTATTTCCTCACTGTAACTGTGCTGTTTGGGTACCTACCAGCAGTGCCTTTCTGCTGCATCACACGGGCATTACGTGCCTGTCATCAGGCCACACAGTTCAGCTCTGAGTCAGCATGACCAGCAGTTTGAACACCCAAATGAAGCCACCTCATGGAGGCCTCGTGAGGCAGCAGACTGAGGTCACAGCTGAATCCTCTCTGCCCCACTTGTTTTCAACTTGTTCCTCCTGGAATAGATTGTTTACTGGACAATTTGTTGTGATGGCTCTGTTGTTCCCTACTGAGGAGTAGCTCAGTTGCTGTAACAGCTTGAGCCATGTGGTTTAAGGCTGCACATCGAAGCCCAGGTTGGTCTTGTTTATTATCAGGGCAGCAGAACAGTTCTCACTTAGCAAGACTTGCTGTGACACTGTATATGGGGACAAGAAAAACACCACCAAAGCAGGTGGTGCCTGAGAACTGCAGGCATGCAAAATGCCCAGGGAGGTGGTGGAGCCACTGTCTTTGGAGGTGTTTAAGGAAAGACTGGACATGGCACTTAGTGCCATGGTCTGGTGTACATGGTGGTAGGTTGGACTCGATCTCAGAGTTATTTTCCAACCTAATTGATTCTGTAAAAATGGCTCTGACAAGCAAGTTGAAGCATTCAGTGCTTTTATCCTACTAAGTGGATGAAAAGGAAGTGAATGAGGTTGATTTGACTATGCAGTAGGTAAAAGGATACCACACCCTAAGGAAGGTGCAGGTGATACATGCCTCTATGGGGTTTGGAAGGCTCCACCTAACCTGAGCAGTGTGGATGTGAGTTGGTTTCATTCCAGATCTCTTAATTGCATTTGCATGGTGAGGAACTCAGACTAACCACTTTATCTTAAACTTGGAATAGGCTGGGAACACACGCGTAGTCAATTAGAGCTATTCAGTGAATTAATGTGGGTTGGCAAAACAACTGGTTGCTTGTCTGCCCATATATTTAAATTCTAATGCCATTGCTTACATGCCAGTTGAACTTTAACATCTTTACATACAAAGCGAGTGAGGAGTCTGTCAGTGCTGAGAACACATTCTCATGAGAGTTTCACATACTTGTTTTGCTCTGTAGGAACACTAACCTGTAATTTACACAGCTGAGTCATTGTTCTGTCAACCTGGCTAAGTACCGGCTTACAAAGACAGACAATTGAGCTCACATTCGACTAGTGGTCTTGGTTGAACAGCCACAATGGGTTCTGCCATTTTTTGGTTCTTAATCATCTTTCTCTACAGAATACAATTATTTAAAAATGGGAGCTTGCTTCTGTTGATAAAGCTACATTTTACCATTTCTTTAGTCTTAGTGGCAAATATATTCCCATTATTTAGCATGTTACAATACAACTCTATATTATTTTTGGCTTTAGTAAGTACAAGCATTTTCCATAGTCACCCCAATCATGATTGCACTTTTTTTTTTTTAAAGTAAATGGGTGGCCACAGTTTATTCTTGGACCTCTCAGGTCAAGTTTTCCCATTGTGTTCTCTCTTCATTCTGTTTTTTCAATGCATATGAGGACATACACATTGAAACCTTTTTAAGTTCACTGTTTCCTGGTAAGAATGATGTTTGAAAGAGATTTCCATAGATATAGAACTGACAGAGTGTGGCATGGGAGTAACCGTGGTGCACCAGCTCATCCCACCCTTTGTGACCCTCTGCTGTAAACATCCACGTGGAAAACACTTAGCACGCTTGGATAACATGGAAGTGACACAGTGTGCACTTTATGACTCTTCAAACACTCTTAGGAAAACAGACCTGTGTCCTTAGGGAAACAAATCCTCAAATAGATCCCTCATCTCTCAAAAAAAAAAAAAACAACAACAAACTGAAAAACCAAAAAACCTTCCTCTTTGCTTTCAGCAGTGAGAGACCACAGGTGTTGATCCTTTCTGGCAAAAATAACTGGTATCCACAGCCCATGGCATAAAGTAGATGACAGTAGCAGCAAACAGTGGTTTCACTTAAAAAACTTAGAAACAAACTTCTTGTGGTTAAGCTTCCATCAGGCTCCATTGTTTTAGCAGCTGGGTTTTCCTGCCTTTATTAGTCACCTTTTAAGTTAGGCACCAAAATCTGTGCTTCATAATCATATTAAAATACATAATTTTTAGAGAGTCCCTTGCAATGTACAAAGAAGGCCGTAAGCTTAACATCTTGTGCAAGGCTTTGTCCAAGTGAAGAGCTGTTGTCCCATTAGTGGAACAGAGAAAACCAAAACATACACAAGACTGTCTCAGCTACAGAAGCACTGTTGCAAATTACTGCTCTGAGGAGAGGGTAGCAGACTGAAAATGAGCCAGTAACACATCTACCTTTTCAAAATATTGTTGCTTTGAGCAGTTTTTTTCCTGTTATGCTCCTTTCTGTCATATCTAGCCACCAACTGGAATTCTATGGGAAAAAGCAGCAGCTTTTATTTTTCCCCAGCATAAGCTAGGATCACACTGTGGTAATCCTTTAAGTTGTAACAGTACACCGTTTCTAGAGAGAAAATGAGCATTTTTATTTTTCAGTTTGAGAGAACATTAATAGATCTGGCAAGTGGGCCTTATGGCTTCATTTCTCAAAGGCTGCAGTCACATCATTGTGTAGTTTATAGTGCAAAAACAAGAGGAATGTTAATTTTTGGGCTGCTAAAGAAAGCTCTGGGTAAAGAGGGCAATCTGTATTGCTGTTTTAGAGGGTTGTTTGATTGTTGATTTGTTGTTTAGAGAAACCTAGGCAATGATTTGGGCTAGTTGAGTGAAAAATCAAATAGGAGCCTTTCTGTAGAATAGCACAAACTTTCAAATGCAGGTATCCCCCTTCAACATATCAACTCCAGTTGGAAAGGGTAGAAAAATGTCAAACTTACCTGCTTTTGCAGTTGGTCCAGAGTGATTCATGTCACACAATAAAGCTTACACAAACGTTGTAAGAAGTAGTTATGTTGAAGCAACGTGAGGAAGCTTTTTATCTTGGCCATCCTGCCCTCACCTGCTTCCTTTTACAAGGGTCAAATTGTTAACACCTGTCCACTTGCCTACTGGGAATTCCTGCTCATTAGGATTGGGAGGGACATCTGGAAGTAGTTGTCAACCTGCTTGCACCCTTCAATTCCATAGCTTGTTAATAAATTATAATTATTCTTACACCCCATCCTACATTTATTTCCAGCACTGCAAGTGGAAGAGGAAAGAGAAATCGGATCCATAAACCCAGCAGAGCCAAGCGGCAGGTGTTTCTGTAACCACAGCAGCAGGACCAAGGTCAAAGCAGTCCTGCTGGAATGTGCTGGGATCCAGCACAGCAGCTCCACAACTGTTGTGTAAACACCTTCCTTTAGCATGACATCAGACCAGGGATAAACTTGAGAGTCATTTTTTTCTCTTCAGGATATAGGACCAGTTCTTCCATTGCCAGTTTTATAACGGGATACAGGCTCCTCTGAGTTCAAAACAGATTTGCTAACAATGGTTGGAAGCTGTGTGGCTGAGTGGAACTGAGCATTTCTTGCAGTAAGCCAGCAGACTAGACAAGATGTACAAGCTCATCCATCATAATGGCCATTAAGCACCCAAATACTTCTGCTGCAGCTTCATCACTTGCTGCTAGGAAACAGCACCGCTAATTTCTCCAAACTGCTTATTGAAAAATAAGCTACCATGAAAATGGGAGAGATTCCTTGGTCCTTCCACAATCAACTAACGGGCACAAACACTCACAGGGTGGCATAAATGAGCAAATATTTCCTTGTCAAGCTGGCAGGAAAAGATGGAAAATGAGGAATTCCTTGCCCATGACTGACTGCAGAACACCTGGTTTTCTCACACAAAGCTGTGCTTAAAACTGATTTTTCTCTGCTGTGGTTTCTGTTGTTTTCGTTGGGAAGTTTGTTGCATCACAGTAAGGTGGTCTGATGTGTATATTTCGATGTAAGGAGCAAGAAAGGCATTTTGACCTTCTCAACAGAGGATCATGTTTTCTTCTTGCTAACTTCTATGGACTGTTGCTTTCCTAATTTTATTCACAGTCCAGCCTGACTTCTTCAGACTCCTTTCAGCTTCACTGGAAGTTAATTGAGAATGTTGCTCAGTCAAACAGAACTGACTGTCCTCAAATGTACTTAAGTGATTTGAGTAAGATCATACTCCAGTAGTTTAAAACATGTAAGAATAACCCTTGAAAACAGTTAGACTCAAATTCTTACATGTAGAAACTAATAAATGAAACCAGTTCCCCTGCCTGTTGAAGTGCTTCCTTAGCCCTTCTGTCTCTGGCTATCCTGTTTCCTCTTACCCTGTTTTTTCAGACCTGCCCATGCAGTTTTCAGAAGCAGCTGTATCAATACTAATTTATTGAAAAATTGTTTTGCAAAGAGCTAGTTCAGGTGTTTTTTTTGTCCATGACACAGCTAATTTGTAACGGGATGAGCTGCCAGGAATAACCAAGGAGATGACTCTATCTGTGCTGATCCTGTTTGTTCATTCCCATGGGAAATTAGTTTATCTTTCTGGCATATGTCATTTGTAGGAGTCCATAGAAAAAGGCCATAAAATAGATAATTTTCCAATAGAAAAACACTTCCACTTCTGAGATTATTTAACCTCAGGGCAGAAGAAATAGGAAATGCTGACAATGCTCTGAGGATTCAATGAAGGTGAGGAAGAAGAATATAACAAAAAATGTTTGTTGTGAAGAATCGAGGAATTGTATTTTGGTTTTTTAAAAACACAGCATATTAGCATATGAAATCAGTTTTAGAAAAGCCAAATGTCTACATGCAGTGATATAACTGCTAGGGATTGCTTAAGAACAGCTGTCGCCCAAACAAGTGTTTTCTATACAAATCATTCTCTTCTGGGGTGTAAGAGCTGCCAAGATTGTGGTAGAAAATTGAACTTACTGTAGCAGTGCAGGGGATAAGTCCACTTGGAGGACAAAGAACCTGACCTGTGTTTTGGAACTTGTGTTTTAGGTGGATGTTAATATAAGTGTCACGTAAGTATCAGTACCTGATGTATGCTTACTTCAAACTCAACGTGCAGCACAACAGCCCTGAACTGTGTAACTGAGAGTCTCACCAGTTAGTGCTTCTAGCCTTTCACATTACACAGCTTGTCTGGGAGGAGGGACCATAAAATTCGTGTCTTGTAGTAATGACAAAAAGATTTACTTTCATGAATGTTGCAGTGCTGGTTATACAGTAGTGTTTCTCACTGAGCATATGCAAATACAATTGCTTGCTTCCAGCAACATCCTTAGTCTGTGATGGTGGTTTACATTAGTGGTTTACAAATACTAGTATAGACTTAACTGTTGTACAGCAACAACGTGACTTTGATATCTTTAACTATGGCTGTGCTGCTGCCATTAACTGGTGTAAGCTGCAGACAAAAAAAAAAGGCAAAGATCTTTTGTAGTTTATTCACCCAAGAGGCAAAGCCTCTAGGGCATGGGACAGCAGAAAATATCAGACCAGCTGTGAGATGTAACACAATTCAAATATTTTGCATTCTGCCAGGTAAACTGGTCCTAAAAACACACAACTTCTCATAACTTCTTATCCCTAATGGTCTTTTTACACATCTGTGGTAAGTGCCTGCCTATAAAAGAGAATATGTACTTTCTGAGGAACAGCTTCAAAAGGATTTTGTTGTGTACACACTACCTTTGCTGCATTAACAGCCTTCAGTTCTTACCAGTACAGACTCTTGTAAGGTAGTATTAAAGAAGAAGTCCAATTATAAAACGTGGACGGGAGTGGGAGATCTGAGCCTAAAAGCATGAGAATTGCAATCAGTACAGTTTCTTAGATGTAATGATTACTTTTACCACAGGTACAGCTTTGTCCATGAACCCTCATTGATGCGATGTTGTTTTTTTTTGAAGGCTCACCAGCAGAGCAGAAAAGCAGATCGCTTGTTGGCAGCAGGGAAATATGAAGAAGCAATTTCTTGTCACAAGAAAGCTGCTGGTGAGTAGGTTATTTCTCACATTCCAGCTGTTAAAATCAGTTCCTAGATTTGCATGCTCTGTGCCCCAAGCCTGTCTGAGCTCAAGAAGCATTTGGACAATGCTCTCAGGTGTGTGGTGTGACTCCTTGGGTGTCCTGCCTAGGGCCAGGAGATGGACCCAATGATCCTGATGGGTCCCTTCCAACTCAGAATATTCTGTGATTCTATGATTCTATGTAAGTAGAATATCTAGTTACTTGCAAAATTTTTATTTTTAAAATGTGAGTTTGTTTTTCAGTCCAGATCAAGAGCCCTTTTGGAAACTTTTTTTTCTCATATGAGCAGCTCAAGTCAGACATTTCCATAGTTGTTTTGATTGGGGATGGTTATCACTGCGAACGCAGTTCTTGACTGAAGATGAAGCCAACACCTTGTGTCATGCACAGACTAAAGCTGGGTACCTGCTGTAAGCCAGTTTCACTTTACCCTTTGTATTTTCTTCACTGCTTTCATAGCTGAGGTCACCTGCTTCCCCTGCTAATAAAGGAAATACTTAGACAAATGTTTGCTTACAAAAGTTTACTTCCCTTTCCTGATGTCTGAATCAAGCAGCTGAAAACAGGTGATGAGCTCAGCTTCCCCAGAGCTCGAGCACAACAGCAGATTGACACCCTGTCCTGTGTGAGACCTTGTGCGTTTACCTGTCCATTTAAATAGTCCCGCCTAATTATCTGTGTTGGAGTCCCTCAGCTCTCTGACAGTGCAGCAGCTACTTGGCAGAAGAAGAAAGAGGATCTCTTAATTGGTGCAACAAGTAGGACATTTTCAGTGACAGGGCTTTGAGGAGACAAAGTCTCCTCAAAGGAGAGTGGCTACTCTCCTTATGATGTTATGAACATCATAACCTAGATACCAGGCCTTCTCACTTTCCATTCATAAATACTAGAAGTTAAAGTGAGAAACTGATAGTTTCTTTGGTTTTTATGAATACTCAGAGTGATCAGGGATAACACATTCTGGTATGCAGACTTTTGGTTTTCTTTCGTTCATATACCAAGACAAAACCCAGAAGGGCACTGAATGTTTCTTGCATTTCTTTGTCTGATGATTCTATGCCATTATCTTGCATCATTCCAAATTTGGTTAAGAATTTCTTACACCTTGTCATTTTCAGCACTAGCAAGATATGCTCAAAGTGCTTCTCTGACTCTTAAGCCAGCACATTTTCTGGTTTGGAGGAGAACTTGGGAAAAAAAGTGAGGAACTAAGGACCATAATTTTTCATTATGAATATAATTTAAAAGCATGACTTCATAATACTGGTGTGCCATGGGCAAGAGGATTTTACTTATCACATTTTGTCATAACGTGCTTGTATGCTAAAAGGTCTGGTCCTTAGCTGTGTTCCTGCCCTTCATGGGAAAGCTTATTCTTCTGGGACTTTCTGGAAATGGCTGTTGTCCTTCTCTGTAAAACAAATTTGAGCAACTCAAGCCAACAGGATACCATGGAAGGGGTGTAGTGTGCATTGCAAGACCTTACAGCAATTTTTCCTGACTTTTGAAAACCAGCAGGTGTTTCCAACCACCGTAACTCTGTAAATGCTTTGCCTCTAGACTGCTGCCTTTATGTAGGGGTTCAGCACACAGAAGGCCTGGAGCCTTTCCTTAGGTTTTATGGGAATGCTGAGGTTGTGCAGGCCGTGCTGACGCTGACCTGTTCTCTATCCACAGCGTACCTCACGGACGCCATGAAGCTGACCCGGTCGGAGCAGGTGAGGCCCCAGTGCAGCAGCTACAGCTCCTGTGTGTCCCACTGTGCCCTCGCTGATCACACCCCCCTTGGGCGTTACCCTCTCCAAAGTTTTCTGAGCCCTTGGCAACTGCACCGGGAGCGTCACAAGTGTGGTAACACCGGTCTTCCTAGGGAGTTTTTCCAAGTTTATGTGGAGCAGGGACAAGAGAAATGCTAAGCCATCCAAGGGGTCTCCAGCTTTCTAGTCTGCCAGGCGTCTTCAGGGAGGTGATAAAACTAGTTTCATGTTTAGCTTTTGCTGTGAGGCACTTTGCTGAGACACAAAGCTGAGCGTCTCATCTACAGTCTGTAATTTTGGGTTTATTCATCCTGACTGGGGGATCTCCAGAACAACAGCCCTGACACCTTTCCTTAATCATTGCACAGATCTGCCTGTGAATGTAGCAGTGCAGTCTGCTCAGCACTGTTACAGCAGTAGGGTTTGAATTTAGCCAATATTATGAAAGCAAATAACCCTTGGAGATCAGGCCTCTGTCTTTGCTCCAAAGGGTCATTCTTTTGGAAAATGGTCTCTCATCCAGGTGGTTCCTGTGAGTTATTGTCCACCATGCCACCCCCTTCATTAAATATGGCTGAATCATTTGGGACTGTATCTGGCCTTGGAGCAATTTGCTGCTTAGTTTCAGGTGTTATTGATATGTCTACACAGATACCATCACAGAAGCATACAAAAAGTTTGCATGGTTTAGCAAAGCGTGGCTGTGCATGCCAGGAGAATCCCTTCCTTCCTGGTGCTGTTCATAGGTTGGTTAAACTCCTGGTTTAACCAACAGCCCCTGCTCAGAGGGGTTGTAGCCTGGTCAGTGACTTACAAACAAAAAGACCAGGTTTTTTGCTGAATTTGGGTGACATATCTGAATCTGTTGCATTGTACAAGCAGAGGGCAGTTCTTGCTCCCCCCCCCTCAGCCGTGCTGTGATACTGTTCATGTAAATATTTACACACATGTAACTTTACCTGCATGAATATTCAGGTGGGATCAGGGATCACCCACTAAATTGTTTAATCTTGTTCTTACCCAGGCTCAGCTGTCACTGGAATTACAAAGGGATAGTCACATGAAACAGTTACTGCTCATCCAGGAGAGGTGGAAAAGGGCAAAGAGGGAGGAAAAGCTGAAGGCCCAGCAGAATGCTGATAAGGAAACAGCCACACACCTTCAGACTTCTTATAAGCCATCTGCTGAAGACTCTGATGATCAAAACATACTGGTTCCTGTTACTCAGAAATACAGCCCTTCCACAGAGAAACATTCGCAGGATATTCAGGGTGTCTTTGACAGGGACCCAGATACACTGTTGTTTCTGCTTCAGAAAAAAAAGGAGCCGATGGAAGCATGTATTGGGAGTAAAGCTCCAAAAGATGACAAAACAATAATAGAAGAGCAGGCAACCAAAATTGCAGATTTGAAACGGCACATAGAATTTCTTGTAGCTGAAAATGAGAGATTAAGGAGAGAGAATAAGCAGCTAAAAGCAGAAAGAGCTAGACTCCAAAAATCTCCAGTAGACAAGGAGCTGGATGTAGATGCTGATTTTGTAGAGAAGTCAGAGTTGTGGGGTCTGCAGCAACACTCAGAAAGTACTTCTTCAGCTGCAACGTGGCAGAAGTTTGCAACAACTGCTGGGAAGGCAAAGGACATTCCAATACCCAACCTTCCCCCCCTGGACATCCCATCCCCTGAACTCCCACTGCTGGAACTCTCTGAAGATATACTGAAAGGACTGATGAATAGTTAAAACCCAGGAAAAGTGCTCAGTATAGTTACCCATACTTAAGAAAAGGGAAAGCCACCAGGACAGTGGTGATCTGAGGGCAGAAACATCTACCACAATCCTACTGTTGGAGAAAAGGCATTAAGCAACTCTGTTACTGTGAAATACACATCATATCTGATCTACTTCATGAGAGTTAAAGGTACCATAGTTGGTATAAGATGGTGAGCTCTTTTAGTCTTTCTCCCAACGTTTCAAACCAAACGACTGCCTGGAGAATGTTTCAAGTAACACAATCCTTCAGGGTTTTTAAGTATGCTATATATGTAATAGTTATCTATAATGCCATAAATGATGGTGCAGAACCTAACTGTTATGGTTGCCAGTCGGCTGCCACTTCATATTGAAAAATGCTTTCTAGCATGAATTTAAACTGTGCATTTCATTATGCATAACTTTGTTAATTCAGATACAGTGCAATTTATACACCTCCTAGATGGATTTATGTGCCACACTCAGTACTCCTGACCATGTTAACCTCAAGTCAGGAGAGATTTTATTTTCCATTCTATGAAGGAACCAACTTATTAGTTCTGTTGACGAGGTTTTTTTTGGGGGGTTATCTGTTTACATAACTAATCAGGGTGCATTGAATCTAGCTATTGGTTTCTGTATAAAGTGACATGGTTTAAAAAAAGAAAAACCTATACTTAAGGAAAAATACCCTTTTTGTTTTCAGTGATGCATGAATGGAATAATTCTAGCTGGCAGTATTTGATGGAAACAGAAATTGTTTACAGCTTAACCTGATTCAAAAGGATAGGAAAATAAAAACCAAGGTGTTTTGACACTAAACGTGTGTTAAATCTCTACAGATGTTGCAGAGTATAAAAACCAAATTAGTACTTGTACTAACAGCGTTAGTACACACGTACAAGCTGGGCTTCTGTGTTCGTCATCCAGCACATTTGAGGAAGCTGGGATGAATTTAGAGTGCCCAGCCCATCCATGAAGTGACCTGGCTGACAGCTGGGTTAGAGTCATAGAATCGACTGGCTTGGAAAAGACCTCCGAGATCATCAAGTCCAACCCTTGATCCAACCCTGCCGTGGTTCCCAGACCATTGCACTGAGTCCACATCCAGTCTCACCTTAAACACCTCCAGGGACGGTGAATCCACCACCTCCCTGGGCAGCCCTGATTACTCTCTCTAAAAAATTTCTTCCCAATATCCAACCTACGGCTCCCCTGGCACAGCTTAAGACCATGCCCTCTTGTCCTACTGCTGGTTGCCTGGGAGAAGAGACTGCCGCCCACCTGGCTACAACCTTCTGTCAGGTGGCTGTAGAGTGAGGAGGTCTCCTCCGAGCCTCCTCCAGGCTGAACGACCCCAGCTCCCTCAGCCTCTCATAGGATTCTCATAGGGTTCTTACACTGGAGCGTCCCAGGGGCAGCTCTGTGGTCCTGCCTGGGACAGGCCCCCTGGAGCCGCAGGAAGGGCCTGTGAGCAGGCACACCCACTGCGGGGCTGGGCCAGCTCTGGCAGGGCAGGGCAGGGCAGGGCAGGGCCTCCTCCTCACCCGCCCATTCCAGCAGCTCGGCCTCTGCCCTGGTACCTGAAAGGGGCTTTCCTCAGGGTGTTCCCGTGGGTAGTGGAGGCCTTAGTTAACCTCAGCTGTTACTGATTATTGAAAAGTGTTCACTGTTGCAAGCTACCTAATTTTAAGTAATTCTTGTGCTGTTAAAAAGGTGAGCTTGCTTTCTAAAGGTGCATTTTTCTTCCAGAATAGGCTTGGAAGTGCAGCAAGAACACCTTACTGCTGTGCAAATTGTCCCCCGGCCTCTGTATACCTGGTGTCTTCTGTGCTTGAAGGAGAGTAGGGACTGGAGGCTAGAAATGTCTATGGAAACAGAGGTAAGACGAGGTCATTAGAGGAGGTCCCTCGTGCTGAATTGTAGCTGGAATCTAATCTTGCTGGGGGAAAAAAAAAGTTGTTTTTCAGTTGGTGCAGTTTAGCAAATGGCCTCACAGACCAGCTGTGATGAGGTGACCTGTTCCAGGGCAGCCCCAGCTCGCTGCTCCCACCAAAGGGCAAGTCACAGTCTCTGCTGACACCTGCCTGGCTGGCTGTTCAGGTGACAAGGCAGAGCAGCACAGTAAGTAAAGCAAAGAAAGGCATGTGCTACAAGATGGAAATAAAGTGATTTAAGCAGCTACCAGGGCTGGTAGCTCAAGGCTGCAGACATTTCAGCGATCTCTGCAAACAGCAGCTATAGGAGAAGGAAGCAACTTTTAGCCTGGCTACCTCTGCTAAAGAGTCAGGGTTCCTCAGAGGTGGGAGCATGGGACTTGCCAGCTCTGCCTTTTTGTAAGACTAAACTGTCCCTTCACGTATAGCTCCATAAACAAAACACCAGACCTGAAGGAAGCTGTGGGAAGGGTAGCCAAGTGGGGGCAAAACTCCACGCTGCCACTTTGGGAAAGTGGTAAAACTTCTCTCTCCTGCAGTGCAAATGTTTGTTTGTTCTTGCAGTCTGCCTGCTCAACACAGGACTGCTGCTGAATCTCAACTTCGAGCAGTAAGGCTGAGCACAAGAGTGTTCCACTCCCTGAGTGATGCTGAATTTTTCCAAGTAAGGAATTCTTCAGTCTGAATCCACACCTAAGCAATTACTCAGTGCATGGGAAGAAAGGTAGGTTGTACAGAGAATACTCACCACTAGAGGACAGGTTTTACAGATACATGGCAATAAACCTAAGGAAAGCCGTCTCCCGTGGATGTCAGCAATTAGTTTAAGCCCGAACAATTTAGGACTGGTTTAGGCGGTTACTGCCTTCCGGCCGCGGCCCCGCGGCGCTCGGCCCGGGCCCTGCTCCCTGCGCTCTCCGCAGCCCTTGGCAGCCCCCAGCCGGGCCCTGCCGAGCCGCGGGGACCCTCCTCCCTCCGCCGTGCCCGTGTCCTGACACCGCCGTGCCGACGGGCTCATTCCCGGGCCGGAGAGAGCCAGGACGAGGTGCGGTGCGGGAAATGCTGCGCAGGAGGTGACGGGTTGCAGCAGCAGCAACAACGAAGTGGTAGGTAAGTCACTGGCGGTCACACAGCCTGGCACAGTTCATGGAAAGATTCCCATGGGCAGGGAGTCTGGGCTGCACTGTTTTACACGGGACAGAATTAAACACTCCTGTGGTCTGTCGTTTCAGTGTCTCACCAATTTTAAATACATGTCCAGACACTGACTTCTATTCACAGACTTCGCTTTGACCACAGAAACCATCCTTGTCTTGGAACCCAGAAATACTGGCCCTGTTGAATACAGCCAACATATGCTGTGCTGAAAGAAACTGTAATTACCCAATCTCTGGCTGTATCACCACAGAAAGAGAAACCAAAGAAAAGCAACTGGGAAGCAATGTGGAGTCTCTTGAGAATAAAATCTGCAGACTACACCACCAATTGCTACTTAGAATGATGGCTAAAACCAAAATACAGAAGTGTTGGGTTTTATATTTTCATTTTATATAAAGGGGGAAAAGGATCTTGTGACGGCTTCCTCCGAGAGCATTTCCATGTTCAGGAACTCCAGCCTAGAACTCCTTCCTATGCCTGTCAACAGCATCTCTTTGGCCATCTGCAATTCGTGTTGACCTGCCTTCACTGGCATGGACTACACCTCATCTAGGCTCCCCTTTCTCACAAAAGGTTGGACCAGATGACCTTTCAGGACCTCTCCAACCTGGGCTGCTTTACAGTTCTATAAAAGCAGGCTCGAGAGCAAAATAGATGAAGAAAAGCAAGTACAACCACAATGTTTCCTGTACTGAATTGGACTAAAAATAGAGCAGAAAACAAAATCAAACTGTTCCAAAGCAATTGGAGCAGTGGTGTGGCTGCCACAAGTCAGGTATAGGCTGGACATTATTTGCCAGGCTTTCCTGCCCGAGGATGTGGAGTTCAACTGTATAAAAAGCTCATTGCTCCCTCAGGACTCAGAGATATGGCCATCTTTTCCTGCACCTCCTTTCTCTCCCATGTTTGTTTTCCCAGAAGTAACCTCAGCTTAACCAGGCTTTTTGTCTTGTAATCATCTGAAGTGTCCCCTCAGGCCCATTTGCTGCAGGAGTTCAGATATTATTGAGATCAAACAATATGAAATCCTTAGAGCTGTGAAAATACAGGATTTCCTGCCCCAGAGCTACTAAACCCTACTCTTTCATTTCACTAAGGAAGCACAGAGCTACGGTAAAACCACATGCCCAGGGACTGGAAAAAGAAACAGGCATCTGGGTCAATATATTGTCTTGGTATGGTTGGAAGAAACCAGAAATGTCCACTTTGAAACATGACAACAGAAATCCTTCAGTCTACCACATACTTTTAGAAGGGCCCATGTTTAGAATGCAACTATTTGCACACAACACATCAGGTAAACGATGTCTTCACTGTGCTGTGAGGCAAGATTTTCCTACCAGCTATATATAGATGGTAACTTCCTTTTCAAAACCCATGAGAACAAATGAAAAAAGTAGAGAGGTACAGAACTCTGTGTGTGCTGCTAATGCTACACGGCATTTGCTCCTTGGGCAGCTTCCTGGGCACCCTGCTGAGACGGGAAGAAAGGAACATGGTGGTGGATCCCCCAGGGCACTGCTGGGGCACATACCCCATGGGAACACAAAGGCAGGGAAGGAGAAGCTCCAGCCAACAAAGCACAAGTCAAAAGGCGGAAAGCAGGAGCGCAGGGCAGAGCCGACATTGTTTGGGGCAGAGCTGGGGGTCAGGAGGGGAAAGCACAGCAAAACCTCAGTCCAGGATCTCAACAGGGAGAGGCAGCTCATCCAGCGCGGATGTGGGGGAGAGCACAAACATCCTGCTCAGGAAAGCAGCCGAACAGGCCATGGTGGCTGCGGAAGGAGGAAGGAAGGGAAATTCCCAGTTCCAGGCACAAGGCAGGGAAGGCTGTCAGCTGGGAGAGCAGCAGAGGGGTTGACAGGATGTCACCGGAGAGGGTACAAACAGAATTACCACCTACTGAAAAGGTCAGGGAGCATGAGAACACAGAGCTGATCAGATGGGGGTTCTGCTCACACACACAGATCTGAGCAACTTGTGTGAAGCTGGGGGAGCAGAATAAATAGATTTGCTACTCAGACTGTTAAACAAACCCCTACATCTGACCTCTGTATCGGGGACCACTTCCCTGCCAGTAATTCCAGCAATTTCTGTTTCTGCTAAACCATACACACAGCAACCATCTGTGCTGAAACACCTCAGGTCATCACAGCCCCACTTCATTCTTTGCTAATTGCTTACTCTTCATTAGTTACCTCTGCAGTTCAATAGGAAGAACATTACTATGGTTGTTTACTGTAAGGCAGTGCTGAGGATGGAGGTGATGGTGAGGAGCTGGGAAGGAGGGGGGGTTAGGGAGCAGGGCTCACAGTTTTGATGAGTTTGAGATGTGATCTCTCAAAGGACAGGAAAGAGTGAGTTTCATGGAGAGCAAAGCAGATGAAGACAGAGCTTAGTCTCAATGGAAAGGTGACAAAAGATGACACATGGTACTTCATATCCCTGCTCTAGGAGCTGACAGCATTCCTGCACTCAAACAGCTTCAGCTGATCTCACTGAATACTTTTGGCTGTATTGAAATAGTTGAGACTGTAGATCAGAAACCCCCCTGAAAAGTCTTTCTGAAAGGAAGATGGGAAAAACATGCCTCACAGAACATGGAAATGGTCAAGAGGGAAAAAGCTAACCTGAAAAGAAAACGCCTCCCCATAAACCCCTCAGGTCTCAGACATCAGCCATGAACACCTCAGGTCACAGCCACAAGCATGACCCAGCCTGATTTCC